TCCATTAACATCGTAGTTTACCTGGACGATGGTTTTGGTTATTCAGTGTCAAAGGCCGTATGTACAAAACACTCATTTAAAGTTAAGACTACTTTAACCAGAGCCAGTTTGGTTTACAATGTAGACACGTCTGTATGGAATCCTCAAACTAGACTAGAGTGGCTTGGCTTTTTCTGGGATCTAGACTCTGGTATCCTTTCTGTTCCGTCTATTAAATTGAAAGATGTTAGGACTAGATTCGCAGGGTTCCTTGCATGTCTTCCACGTTTTACAGCACGAAGCTTAGCTAGTTTGACAGGGAAGGTCATATCTCTATTTCCAGTTATGGGGGACATCTGCAGGCTATTGACTAGACAGATGCACACAGAAATTCAGAGGTCAGTATCCTGGGACAGAATGATTAGGTGAGATAATCGATACTGGGACAGAATGATTAGGTTAGATAATCCTGAGTGCGTCTATGAACTTATGTTTTGGAGGGACAATGTTTCCCTTCTGAACTGTCGGAATCAGTATTTTTGACTTCAGTATTTTCAGACGCCAGTGATTTGGGTTCTGCTGGCTATATACAACATACTGATTACATTTTTCATTACAGATAGAATTTGGATCAAGCTAAGCGCAGTTCAACATGGAGAGATATGAAAGCTGTGGAATTAACTTTGATTGCATTTTCAAACATACTGCGCAATATAAGACCATAAAATGGTTTACAGATAGCAAGCCTTGTTGTCATGTCGCAACATGTGGTAGTTTTAAAACGCATTTACAGAAACAAGCTATGTCAATTTTCGTTACAGCTAGTATGCACAATATTTTATTGAAGTTCAGCTGGATCCCAAGGTCAGAAAATGAGAAAGCTGATGCTTTAGGCAGATTTGAAGATTCAGATGATTGGAGAGTTACAAATACAATTTTCAGGATTCTGGATGCACGATGGGGACCACAATCAGTGGACAGATTCACAAATCACATTAATACAAAGTTGGTGAGATTTAATTCCAGATCTTGGGTTCCCGGTACCGAGGCAGTCGATGCGTTTACACAGCAGTGGCAAAGAGACAACAACTGGGCTGTACCACCTGTACACCTGGTTTCTAAAACAATCAAATTCGTTCTGAGTAACAAGGCTCCTACAACTACGGTTGTTCCTACATGTATGTGGCCCTCTGCGTCATTTTGGCCTGTCTTGTTCGATGGTGATAAACCCAGATCTTTTGTTGCAGATATGCTACAACTTAAAGGCAGTACTACTGTTGAAGGTGGAAGCAAAGCTTCTATGTTTGATTCATTTAACGGATACATTCTGCCCATTAGAATTAATTCAGTTTGATGTTAATATTGCAGATATGTTTGGTCTAGGCATCTGGAAGGAGAAAGATTCCTTGGTTCATAAGGATTTGATAAGTTTAGCAGGAAAATTGCAAGAAATAGTGTCAAAATCAAAAGCACCTGTCACTGTCGACAAATACAATAATATAATCTTTGGAAAATCTTTGGAAAAAATGGAGTTTATATCTCACGTCTCTTCTCCAAGGAGGTAAGAAATCACATTCTGTTGTTGCAGCAATCTATGGTATACGTTGGGCACATCGAGTAGCAGGTTTAACAGATCCATGTCAGTCTGATCCCATAAAAAATATCAGAGAAGCAGCCCTGAGAAACTATAGTAATCCCGTCCAGAAGAAAGAGCCAATTGATATGTATATGCTGAAGAAACTCGTTTGTTTTTTGGGAAAGGAAGGTTGTTCCCTGTTAGATTTAAGATTTCTGACTATATCCATTCTCTCGTATGCAGGTTTTTTCAGATTTTCTGAAGGTGTACATATAAAACGTTCCGATCGATGTTTTCATGATGGATTTTCGTATTTTCATTGAAAAAAGCAAGACTGACGTGTACATAGATGGTAGATACGTGTTGATTTCGGCCTCTGGGTCCGAACTTTGTCCAGTGAACATTTTAGGTCGATATTTGACAGCTGCAAATATTAAGCAAGATTCTGAGGAGTATATATTCCGTCAAATTAGTTGTTGCAAAAAGTTAGGCAGTTATAATCTGAAAGGAGAAAAGCCTCTGTCATATACTCGAGCGAAAGAAATATTTCTTGAAAAGTTTAAATGTATTGGTGAAGATGTTGCAAAAATAGGATTACAGAGTTTTCGTTCGGGAGCAGCAACAGCCGCTGCAAACGCTGGGGTACCCGACAGGCTGTTCAAGAGACACGGCCGCTGGGCCTCTGACAGAGCAAAAGATGGTTATGTCAAAGACAATTTAACAGAATTATTAAAGGTGTCGTCTTTGTTGGGTTTGTAAAAGTCAGTATTAAATATGTTCACATTCACCCCTTCTTTTAATTTCGAGCTGCGGTGGACATAACCCTTCAGATGCGTATGTTGTACATGGTAAATATTTTATTTTCGTTTGAGCGAAGCGAATTAGAACATAAATTAATTTATTATGGGTTAAATATGGTAAGAGTTGGCCTGCCGCAGCCAGGTACATTGCACGTGAATGTGGTATCACGAAGTCACGTGAGGAAGGAGACGTGTAGTGTACACTGACTGTGTTGAACCGTTCGAGGTCTTCGCATAACACAGGCGAGCAGATTTTACATCTTGCTCAATATTGGCTCAAGAATTTGAGGTCACAAAGTATTGGAGTGTTTAGCTGAGGGGCATAGTTGAGCCGATGGGCAAAGTTGAACCTTTGGGCAAAGTTGAGCCGTTGGGCAAAGTTGAGCCGTAGGGCAGATCCTTTTATTTGAATGATATGATGCGTTTGGTGTGATATGGGAAGTTGCTGTTAAAGTTACAGTTTGGATCCAAAAACTGAGCCAAGGAAAACGAAAGAAAAAGCAGTCCAAGATGAAGATTAATTTAAGATAAATATATTATGGTTATAATTTCAAACATTTCTGAATAACAACTGCAAAACTTGTTACATGTTTACATGTTTGCTTTGATCACAATTTGAGTTTGGAATTGTATATTTCACGTAACTGAAAACGGACGCGGTTTTGACAGATTCGTGGATTCGACTTGAAAGACTGTTACGAGTTTGACGAGTGTATTTATTTGTGATTGTTAATAAACCTGCTCGCTTGTCAGCTGCGGTAAGGATAACCCTTGAGATGCGTATGTTGTACATGGTAAATATTTTATGTTCGTTCGAACATAACTGGAACACACAGAGGATAAGACCAAAAAAACACCCCCAGGCCTCAGGTGGGAGACCAGTTGTCATGTATTCATGTGCTGGTCTGTATGATGCTCAGGACTATCTGTGTGAAGTTTCAGATCAAGAAGTTATTTTTTGTTTGGAAGAGAGTCACCAGAAAGTGCCGTTCTGCTGCGACGAGACCGTGTTTGAAATCTGTCAGCTATTAATGGAAGAACATATACGACAAAACCCAACTTGCATGGAAGAAGGAATCCTCTTATATCAGTTTCTCAGGAGGGAAATACTAAACGAATTAGACTAAATGTAACGGCACAAACTGGATGCAGTATTTGCACGATTACTGAACTGTGTTCACAAGTAGAGTTTTTATTCACATTGATTAAAGATTTGACGTGGGAAATGCAACATTTTAGTGTCATTCACTATATAAAATCATTGGTTAACGGTTGTTGGAACCTTCCTGAAACCTACTGGAAATTTACAGATCAGTATCCATCGGTATCCGGAACCAGTTACATGTATCGTAGCTGTTACGAGTTACTGGATATAGATGGGTAAGTTGCCAGTAGGTTCCCAGCACCAGGAAACCAATGATTTAATGTAGTGATTTTGCTGACCTCATGTAACCATTTGGATATCATGGACTAATTTATAAGCCCAAATGGTATATTGTTTTAGTTAATTTGCACAAACTTAGTTGAAAGTATGAAGTTTGGTATGATGCTATATCATCGATATGTATAGCCCTTGAAGTTTCAACTGAGCAGATGTTCATGGTCGCACTGCTGCATTCCTTTCGACAACACCATATTTCAATCACAACTCTATGGGGAACATACGATCCAGTGCACTTTCTTTTGTATCCTAAACCCAATTAATACACGCGTTAGCATTACAGCTGGGTGAACTACATAGACTGTTTGATTTCTACATAGACTGTTTGAACGCTATGTATCTAGTATCCAAATCAACCGGGAACCTAATACGTATTTTAAGTTACCTATGTTATTTGTTTCCAAAGTCAAGAGAAATGTCGAATGAATAACTTGCTGTAACATTTTTAGGCCCATAGCAGCAGCTAAACAGTAAAAAAATAAACCATTTCTGTTTCAACTTTGATTCTTAAAAATAGTAAAATTAAAGCTCTTCCCACTTAACATATATAATGTAACTTTCTTCACTTTGACCAGTTATGTATTATCCAAACGTTAAACTATTTAAAACATCATCACTGTAGAAAGAACACTTGGTGACCTCAGTTCACAACTCTTTAAGAACATCCATACCAGTTATAAACATGCAATATTTATGTGCCCCTGATCATTATGAAATGCATCAGTGTTTCCCCAAAACCAAAAAAGATACATCAGCAATTCAGGCAAAATCTATATATCAACTTGTCTGTATTTGTCAGATTTGAATAATACAAATAAGAATAGTACGTTTATACTACAATGTTCATGTGCTATCAAACTAACTCTGTTTTGTAATCCTTACAATCTCTTGAAAAAATTAAGCTAGTTTTTATAAACAAACTGAACATCACAAACATCTGAAGCAAACCAACCATTATCAGTTATTCTTCTTGTGTAATTTAATTAAAGTACATCCTATCAGATATTAGAACAAACCCAAACGGAATTAAGAGTTGAGGTCAGTTGTTTGAGTGTTGATTAATCTCTGTAAACAGTTGCACATTATCACAAATGGCAAACAGAAATATCATTCTAGATTCAAACAAGATCCATGACCCAAATGTTACTCTCCAGGATTCGGTCAAATTCGCTTCTAAACTCCATGAAGTTTTCATAATGGTTTGCTACTTGACACACAGATCCTCATGTGAGTCCAATCGGCTGACGTTGCACGGCTTCATGGATATCATCTCGACTGTGATTCTATCAACTATAAGCAGGTCTGAGTCAGTACAGTACCGCAGGAACTGGCGAAGTTTGGCTTGGTCGAGTTGCTTCACATATCTTCTCAGATACTTGGCAACATCAGTCTCAAGAGGACCTTTGGCTTCTGGAAAGATAAGGATCATAGAAAATGTTTTTTTGAAGGGAACTAGAGTATTGTACAACTTCTCAAGGTTAACAGGTGAAATGCGAATGTCCTGAAGAATTTCTCATCAACAATCACAGACAAACATTGGTGTTTGCAGTAACTCTTTGTGCGCGATTTCTAGCAGGACTGCAACGATGTTCTTTTTGTTAACATGTGTTCTGCATTCATGTGTGTCGAGACATTCAATGAGTTCTTCAGAGTCAACACTTTCACAAATTTTGATGTAAAAAGTTATGTATTTTATAAATCGGTAGTGTATAATTAGTAACTGAGACTGTTCGTGGCTATACCCTCCACGGGGGTTGAAGTAGCGTAAAATTATTGTCCCCCTGAGAGGGTATGTAAGACCACCTCTTTCAAAGTATATTTATATCTACCTCTATTTTAACTGCAGAATATTTGTTAACTTTTAATATCTAACTAAACTCGCAATAATCACCAGTAACTCGGGGAAGTGTAAATCCTGCTGGGGAACCATGCAGGTAGCAGAGGTACCGTAAGTCCCCTTGGTCCCCAGTATGGTGATCTTACCCTTGCTGCTGGCGATCTATAGCCCCATTTTTATATTGTGTCGTACCCTAATAATCAGAAATCTTTAGTGTTCTACAACTAGTTTTGGGTCAATCTTTGATATATTGCTGGTTTTTATACTGTCCCTCGTCGACAGTTTTTATACCTATTGTATAACTTGTTCAAGTCACATTATGGCTGAAATATTGCCGACGTGACTTTAATTAAACTCACTCACTCACTCACAACACTTTCGAAATCTTCAACTGATCTCTGGAAGACATCTTTGTCGACAGATGAGGTGAAGTCGTTAAAGCTGCTCATCAGTTCAACACTGGATATGGACAGATAAGGGAAAAGGCAATGACGAAGGAAGATCTGTGAAAAGAGGACACGCCAGTATCCAAGTGTCCTCCATCCATAGACGAGGGACGAGGACTCTTCCAACTGCCTTCCATTCTTCTGGACCAAAATCATGGTGAAGAATTTACGTTTCTCCCAACCGTGCACTAACTGTAGAAAGTTTCCCCAAACTCTGCAAGTGTGTCTTTCAATACACCACCTGTATCCTCCGCTTGCTCAACTCCGCCATTTGCAAGAACACGCACAATATTGATTATCTTTCCTAGGATTGTAGGATCATTGAAATATCCACATAGCTCAAGGAAAGTCATAGATCCACGATGAATCTTCATTATCACAGCTTCAGGCTTCGGATTGTTCTGCGTTGTTCACTGTTCTGGATCAATTCCAAAATTTATAATGATTTCTTTATCTGTGATGTCAGGGAGAGTATACTCATCACTATCGAATCCAGCAACTGCCGCAACAGCTTCACTCAGTTGGATCCAAAGATCTCGTGTTAGCCATACTTTTGTTAACATCAAGAGATGGTGTTGATCTATCAGACTGTGTCGAGGTTGCTCGCTTTGTTTTCATGGACCTCGTAGTGACTCTGTTCTGACTTGGGCGAGTTGGAGGTGATACCGTCTCTTCTCCATCAGTTTGCTGATCAACTGTGTTGAGATAGAACGTGATGATCCCCGTCTTGAATATTTCATAACAATCTGCAACTGTGACATTCTCAGGGATCGGGATTTCCTTAAAATCAAGAACAGGAAGTCTTTTGTTGTGCCTTTTGTGGAATTTCCATTTGGAAAAAAGAGATCTTTTCCAATGTTCATAAGATCTCCCTTTATTGCATTCCTGCCAACAACCAGCTTCCTAGTGCCGCCACCAAGTCGTTAACGTACTTGTTTTTTGTTGTGAATCCATCCAAATTCTATGCGCCTAGTTCTTTTTCTCTCATGTTTTCCTTTTGAACGATCTGGAGATCGCTGAATCGTCCGTGTTTGAGCTCTTCACGCCGTTATCCATTCTGCTTATTTTACTTTTCAGTAGTTCACATAGGTTTGACCTCTTTGTTGCTTTATGTTTTGAGTGCTGGTTTCGCGAGAAGATGTTCCTTAAGGCAACACGGTCACCTAGTCTTAGAATAAACCCTGCCAACTTGTCATCATTAATGCTTAGGACAGTGTCTCCATCAACCTGAAATAGAAGCAACGATGCATTAAAATGATCCAGCTATAAAAGAGATAAAACTTATCAGTACCTATCTTTACTTAGAAAATCATTCAGAGTTTTGAATAATTAGCTTAACATAAAGCAATCATGGTGGAATTCGAACCCGAGTTGTCTACATTCTATCTATATATACGACCGAATCAGACAAAAGGTTTAAAGTGACCAGATCAATCAATGACGTCATGCGCTTTCCCGGACGACTGTCTCAAGGAATGTACTGAATTTCCGAGACATCAATTGGGTTTTCATAGGATACAGCGACAGCAAAGAATAGTATAAATAGAACATTCGTCTTGTCTTGTCGAATACCGTATTTATCTCATCTCGTGAAGTAGAAACGTTTAATATTTACTTTCTTGGCTTCGCAACTCGCGAAAATATAAACATTTCTACTTCACTGGACGTGATAAACACGGTATTCGACAAGAAAAGACAAATATTCTCTATTTCTCAAGATGAAACTCATCACTCAATAATCATTACTACAAAGTATCAGAAATAGCAAATATGAACATGGCATGTATTATAACCTCAAGGTAATTACAACTTTCGACAAAAATATCAAAACGGACCCGAGACCCAGCTTGCTGCTACATTATGGCCAACAAACGGTTTCTGTACCAGTTTCTATCCCACCTGGACCGTGCTGTGATACCACGGCAACCATATTATAACCAAAATCATTACATGCTAAGCGGTAAAAGAATTTTCTGATACAAAGAAAAGTTTTTCACTGTAATGAAATATAACTTTTCTCGTCACTGCAGTGAATTCAATTGTGCAATGTCATCGCTATGACAAGTACAGTCACCGAAACGTCACTGGCAACTGATACGACGTCACGACAACATGTCATTTTGAGAAAATATTTGTCTGATGAGCATATTTGAACATGTTATTATCAGGATAAGAAGTTTCAGTTAAATATCATGTATCTTTCATTTCTTGACATGTAAAAGTTCATATTTTCTATACTACATAATATTTAACCAGAAACACGAAATATCCTCTATATACCTTTGTGTTTGTATTTTTTGTTTTCGATTTGCTTTATAAAGTGATACAAATCGGAAAACTTCACGTCGGTTCATTGGGTCCGTTTATCATTTCTGTAATAAAAGGGGCAGTTGTTCTGTTATCTTTGTAAAACATTTATTCTACCATATCACCAATATACTGACGTATCTTACACACTGACAGATCTTTAAGTAAACGAATGATAATTTACCTTTTCTGTCCGTAATTTATCGAGAACACGTTCAGGCACATCTCGAGAATGAAGGAATTCGACAATGTCATCAACAATCATAGTAATGCACCTGTAAAGCACACAAAGTACATCCTGAAAGAATTGGCACATGAACGAAGCATGCTGCATCAGCTATAAATCACGCCTAACGTAGGAGAAAGGAAGTCCTACGTAGGAAATAGTAAGTCCTACGTAGAAGATACTAAGTCATACGTAGCAGATAATACGTCCTACGCAGGAGATACTTAGACACTAAAAAGATTTCACCGTGGCTCTACTACGCTTCCGTAACATTGGGGGACGCAATAATTCTTTTTTTCAGGGAACATTGAGGGACGCAATAAACATCCCCACTGTAAGGGTGAGTGAGTTAATATGCAGCGTCGTATCGGCATTTTTTCAGCCATATAGCGACTCATCACTGAAAGAATCAGATCAAGGATATCATCTTTCCGTGAATTATTTGTGGAAAATAAAGCTGATTTTACAATACGGGACAAATATATTCTCACCAGTAGAAAGGACGATTGTGTTGCAAGTTCATATACTTTGCCAAAGCTTTTGATAGCTGACAATTTTCTTGTATGTCCTTCCTGGGTAGAATAGGTCTTCAGCAACACATGCTTGCCGTAAATGGCGCCGTAAAAGGTGACTAACGGGATCGGGTGGTCAGGCTCGCTGACTTGGTTGATACATGTCATCGATCCCAATTGCGTTGATCGATGCTCATGATATCAATCACTGGATTGTCTGGTCCAGACTCTATTATTTACCGACCGCCGTCATATAGCTGGAATATTGCTGAGTGCAGCGTTAAACAACAAACCAACCAACTTGTATGTCAAGAGCAGTTAGATACGGGCGTTGAATCATGTTAAACTCACTCTATGAAATAGGTCGAACAACATGGGTTACCAATCTTAAAGCTATTATATTTACGTTTAGTTTTGGATATGTTGGTGTTTGGTGATAACCACCTATATATGCAACATCTTAAACTTCGTCATTGAGATAATCAGCGCCATTCTCTTATAGCTACAAGCCTCATTTACCCACTTTCAAATGTAGATAGTTATGTTTCCTTAACTTTCCTTATTTAACACCTTTGCTTAATATATTCGGATGCAGTTATTTATACACAGTGACTTGAAGATATTCACATGCGCAATTTGAAGTGAGTGAGTGAGTATGGCTTTACACCGCTTTTAGCCATATTCCAGCAACATCACGGCGGGGGGCACCATAAATGGGCTTCACACATTGTGAGGAATCGAACCCGGGTCTTTGGCGTGACCAGCGGACGCTTTAACCAAAAGAGAATCCCGCCCCCATTTGAAGAAAGTTTATGAATTAATTTAAAAACAACAAAAAATGAAAAATGTCCATTCAACCTTATGTTCATGACGCTACTAACAATTAGAACTTGACAAATATATTTGCCAGAAGAAATAAAACTATTCACACAAATCTATGCTACTTCTTAAATGTGTAAATAAACTCAGGACATGTATCATTGTGTTATCTTTCCTTAAATATATTTAAAGTGTACACTAAACATCACTTGTGGTCTTAGTGTTGAATAAAAAACAGTCTGTCTGAAAGGTTGTACACAAATACGTGAAATATGGTAACCGGGGTTGTGTAATTCAAGCAATATTTGTATGGGTTTTACAACAGATGCAAACGTCCATCAGTCATAATATTGAGTGCAACAGGCATATCCCATATCAACCAATATTGCCCGAGGAGAGACTCCCTTTAAGATAATATTTCAGTGTGATATGTGTTGACGCTGTTAATAAATATTGTTCTCGCCTAGTTATTATAAATAAAAATAACTGAACCTATATTTTTAAGAACAAAATAGCAATTCAACACACGGCCTTCGAATATTGTCAATCCGGCAAGATCTGGGGTAGAATAGGTCTTCAGCAACCCATGCTGCCGTAAAAAGCGACCATGCTTGTCGTAAGAGGCGACTAATGGGATCGGGTGGTCAGGCTCGCTGACTTGGTGGATGCATGTCATCGTATCACTATTGCGTGGATCGATGTCAATCTATAGTTTGTCTGGTCCAGACTCGATTATTTACAGACCGCCTTCATATAGCTGGAAGATTGTTGGGTGCGGCGTTAAACAACAAACAACAACATCGAATATAGCCTATTCCGAGGCTGCCGTTCTACAACGTTGGGTTAAGTCTATATAAATATTGTGTACGTGATGGAACACAACCATCTTTTTACGGTACACGATCGTACAAACACACAAAACAAGTCGTAATGCGGCGATGTCGTATTGGCCACCCCAGATATACACATGAAGATTTATTGAAAGGTGAGGATCCTCCGTTTTGTATCCCTTGTGATGAGTAGAATCACGGTCAAGCATGTCCTACTTGACTGTGTTGATTTTGCCATCACAAGAGATAAATATTTCAACTCTTTATCTGTCAAGGATCCTTTTGATAATATTAGTTCTCTGTTCATCCTTGTGGTTTTTTTAAATTATTGTCTCCCAGAGAGGGTACATAAGTCCCACATCACTCAAAATAAATTTAGGCCTACCACGATTTTAATCGTAGTATATTTGTTAGTTTTAATTGATGGCTAAACGTGCATACAGTCACCAGCGGCTAAAGAGATTGTGTAAATCCTGCTGGGGTCCATGTTGGAAGCAAAGGTACTATAAGTCCCCATGGTCCCGTGAATGGTTGACAACATTCAGTTGCTGGTGATCTTAAGTCCGTTTTTACAATGTACTGTTCTGTTTAGTAATAGCTTTTTTATGGTCACATACTAGTTTTAAAACTAGATATCTGTGATAAGTCTAGTAATTTTACCGTCCTTTGCTGACAGATTTTTATATAGTCTAAATGGATGTTTTCTTAATTTATTAATTGCTTTAGTCACGGCTGAAATATTGCCGATGTGACTATGAATATTGACTAATACTTGCAGTCAGCGAATATCA